CCATTTATGTGCTGAATAAATTATACGCCGCTTTATAGCCGAAGATAAAAGTTATATAATTTTGATTAGCCGAATTAAATACTTTTTTGACGAATGATTGACGAGTGGCATTATGTCGAATAAATCTATTTCAGCTAGTGATATGCTACTAATGACAAATTTAGTATTAAAACTTTCAGAGTTTACTAATACCTTCTGTTCATTTCTCAATCTTAATAATATTAGATATAATATAGACAAAACTATACTCATTACAACACTAGATAACAACAACTCCAATAGAAATATCTTTCTTAAAATTCTCAATACCACAATTACTCTTCTTTTATATAAGTTAATAATAAATTACCTTGGAAACTATTTTTTAGACAATACCATTGGCAGTCTATCAAAACACATTCTAGTTAAAGACTTAAATCAGATAATCACAGCCTGTAACAAGTAAAGTTGAAATGGATCAATAATCAAGCAAGTAATTAATTGAATTATATCAAGCAAACTTGATTATATATTGTATTTAGTTTCATTATTCAAACACGAATTTATAAAAATACAAGTCAAAATAAATAACATAATTAAGATAAAATCTAGAGTGAGAAAAACTATTTCAGACAGAGTTATATACTCACAAGCTGGCCTTAAGTTCCTTAACCTGGCAGACAGGCAAGAGCTTACCATATCAAAGTTACTTATTATCAAAATGTGCAATCCAAAAACTAAAGATATTATTGAAATGAAAATAGAGTTAATCCAAGTGAGCCATGCAATATGAATATGCCCAATTTGCTTTCTAGAAAAGTTTTAAGAGAACTGGATTACTAGAGCTGCATCCATATGCAAAAAATATAAAATTTTGATCTGCTCACCTAAATGTCAATTTAATTATTCAAAAGAGAATCAATATATTGGCCTTGCATTCTTTTTCAAAAGCAAAGCCTTAATTTATCAGACATTTGGCCTTTATTGCAAAATTATTAAATTCTATAATGACTTACAGGTATATTATTCAAATCACAAACTTACTTGACATGAATTCAATATACACCTAGACTCCACACCCAAAGGCCTCATCCCAACTTGGTTCTTCCAAATTGATATTTCAAATCATATTCAAAAATCTTCTATCTGCATACCAAATATCAAAGTGAGATTCTAAGCAATTATACTTAACAACCAGATTACTTATATCAAAGCTATACACAATTAAAACAAGAATCATCCAAATATTGAAAGAATATACTATCTTATCAATGCCAATAAAATTCTTACCAGATGTCAGTGTCATAGTAACATACAAAAAATCTCAGTTCCAGTATAAGAAGCTATGATCCTATGAACCTATCATAAGAATAACCAATATTGTTTAGCCAATGCTTCAGAAGAAATTCTAACCCAGCTACACTTCAAAAGACTATCAAACCTTATATCCACTATCAAATCAAAAGCACAGATCTAACAAACATTTTGCCTTATCTTAATAATGAAATGCTTACTGATATCAAACAAATTCTCAAGACAGATAGATTTTTTGTCACTATAGATTTATATTCCAAAGATGATTATATTATAGCAAGAGCAAGTGACATAACTGTTATCTTCTACTCTGAGCATCAAAAAGAGAATCAAATATCCACTTTTGTTTAATTACAGTATTATGTATATAAAAAACAATGCTATGGTAAACCTCAGATATTATTGGAAGGTTCCTGTGAGCAATTACTTTTAGATCATATCTTTTAGTTCGTCCTTGCTTTACATTAACTGCCAGCATTAATTCGGGAAATCCTACATAACCATCTTCGAATATTTCAAGAGGGCAGACAACATATAGTGCATTTTGATAATCTTTTAAGTTCCAATGAAACTGGCAGATAATGTTAAAGTTGATACCAATAGTAGGAAAAGTAACAAAGGATTTTGGGACATTAAGACCAAGATCAAGTTTTTTCATCTTCATATATAAATTAGGATATGTAGTATAAAAAGAAAAAATGATTGAAGAGGATTTACACGAAAATAAGATCGTTCGATATGATGGACATATTGATCAGATTTTTATTTAAACATCTTGCCAGAGACTTCAAATCCCCTATGCCATGGAACTTCTCCAAGAATTGCAATACTTCTTCCTCACAATCCACCACAAACTTATCGATACATTGTTTGGTAGCAAAACAGACAGCCTTGATCTTGGAGTCTTGAAGCTGGTTGGCAATAAAGCTTTTAAAGTCATCAGGTAAAAACTTGGTGCAGTTGGGATTATGGATGTTAATAACACCAATACATAAATGGCTTTTTGTGATCTTATCTTTATTCATGTTTGAGTGAATAAAATCTAACACATCTACACCATTGTATATCAACTTCTTGCCCGCCAAAATACACATTTAATATTTCTTGAGGACTTCCTCCGCTATATCACGAGTAATGTATGATCTTCTAGTTTTCTGACTCTCAACCTCCGCTTCCTTTGTTAATATTAAAGATGTATCCAATTCGGCTATCTGGTCTGGATTTCTCTCAAGCTCGACAGAAGTTTCAAGAAAGACATTCGTAAGGGAAACAGGTACGATTTCAGAGTCAGAGCCTGAGGAATGATCTTCGTCATAGGGTAGTGAATCACTATAACATCCCTGTCTTGTTTGTTGAGGAGTCTCCGCATTAATTGTTCTGATCTATGCATTTAAAAAGTAGTCAAATGGTTAAAATATGTTTTTCTAACTAAATTTAAGTTGTATACTGACCTTATTTGGTGGTTTTGAAGGTAATTCTTCCTCATAAGATCGTTTTTGTCCAGTTACAGGTTCCGAATTCTCAATATGTAATACATCCGTCTTACCCAACAAGTGTTGTTTAATGACTGTTCTTTGTAATGTAAGATTTTGAGACAGTGTTTCTTTTGTTGCATCCAATATATGTTGCGTCTATAAATGAACCTTTCAGTATACAAACATTAAGAACAGGTGCCAAGCTAACATACTAACCTGTTTGATACTGATTTGATCTTTCAGATCGTTTGGTTTGCTCTTCTCATCCAAATATTGTTAGGTTTTATAAAACAAAAAGCCATTAAAATTTTTCGAATATACCATAAGAAAACTTACTCGATGTAGATGTGCCTTTTTCTCGTATAACTTGATCTCAGTGTGAATATTTTGGTGTAAATTCCAGAAAAGATTTACTTCTTCAGAGCTTTTATCTATCTAATATAGTATAAGGATAATTAATAAAGAAAAATATGTAACCAGCTTGTTTGAGAGTCTAACCGCCTGCCACCAACAGAACCGCGCTCTTTCCCACTGTCAAACAGCGCTTGACAGGGTAGTTGATGGTCATATTGTCTACTGAGCCCTTACATACAATTTACTGCATGCTCACCAACAGAACTGCACTCTTTCCCACTGCCAAACAGCGCTTGACAAGGTAGTTGGTGACGGAACAGTGCAACACAGTCAGGCGCAGAACAATAAATAAAATCGAACTTTCCATAAAATTTTTTTTTCATTCTAGTACTTTCTGCACGATTTCGGGTGATTCAGCACAGTGTTTTGCGATAGTATTTAGTTCCATTATGTAACTATGGTGTTCTGTTTCTAAATTATTGATATCATCTTCGTGTAATCGAAACTCTAAATATTTTACGAGAGAAGGTTTCTTCACGCTCTCCCAGAAAGCTACATATAATATTCACAAGCAGGTTGTACTAAAATGGATTGTTATAAGAAAAAAGGTGCATAGTTTGCCTTACCAGGATATTTCAAAGCACCAAGGCATTCGGGTTACAAGCCCATTTTGCTTATGAGTAAATCAAAACAATTTTTCGGGGAGCCAATCAGTGTATCCAGAGATCTCAAGCCACAATTTTCATTTCCAGTAAATACTGTAGAATGCTTTTTATTTTTATTTTTGGTGCTTTAGCTATTACCAAGTTTAACAATATAAAAAATGATAGAGAAGCAGGATTTAAAGGGAGGAATAAAGCATGAAAGATCACGCCTGCCGGCCCCTAGACTCCTCGCAAAACGAGAATGGCAGTTCCTTTCCTGCTACTCACTATTACGTGTAACTGTTTTACTATCGATCCAAGCACCTAATTTGCTACTTTTTAAATCCGATAATAATTTTTGATTATATCTCTACTGTACTAAGTGTTCCCACCCCAAGATTAAGAATATCATCCATTACAGCATTACACATATCATCCCATCTTCTCGCCCCAACAATTCACTGCACTTTTTTTGTTCATGGTCGGGATAATTATATAAGATAATCGCTAATATCTTTTTTACATTTTTTCCGAACATGAGAGGAAAAAGGATTTTCGAAGATATATTCGAAAATGATCGTTGGATCGAACCGGAAGATACTTCAGATTGATCTGCTTCCTCGATAGGCTCAATTCTTATTTCGGGAGAAATGTCACTTCGTGCCTGGACAACGGCATAATATCGATTCATTTCGTTTTTGAGCGTTGAGATACCTCCATTGATTGATTCGAATTAAGTTGCAACTCTACCAAAATTATTATGGTAGGTTTGAAGGATTTGTTAGATTTCATCGAGTCTCCCAGTAGAAGTATTAATTAATGTCAAGATTCTTTAGATCTCTGATATAAATTCTTGTGTAATCGAAGATAGTCATGCAAATCATTCCAAAGACTAAGAATGAACGTTAATTAGCGAGAGATTGTGTAATGCCGATAAATCGTGGATCGCTTTACTGGCAATCGCATTAACCCAACTCACGAAGTTTAAAAATAATGTTGATATTTTTATGAGCATAATGTTCGAAATTTTTATTCTTAGTGAAGTTCATCAACAAAAAAATATTTAATATTAAAACGTATTTCTAGTCTATGTTAAAAATCAGGTTACACGAAGACATTTGCTAAAGGTTAATATAAAATCTCGGATGCGGATCATCTTTAACACGGATGTGCTAGCTTCCCAGCTATTTAACAAATGAGGTTTTATCTTATTAATATGCGCTGATTGAATAACAACGATCCGATTTTGTATAAGTTTCACCAGTATTTAAATCATAATAATATCCTTCATCATCGTCGTCAGAAAATCCATAGAATTCATCATCATCTTTAGATGCATTAGCATCCTTACTCCGTGAGTCATCTTCTCTGTTTTTGAAGGGATCTTCAAGATCGTATTCATAATCGGAACCTCGATCATTGCTCACCTCCTGTAAATGATTTAGATGCAATAGTATCTTCACTGCGTGAGACTTCTCCACTTATTTTATCAACATCAGAGGAATTGCTGGAAGCAGTCACTTCGTGGATAGAGATTTGAATCGTATTATTAGGTGAGGAGGTGTCAATATCTGATACACTTATCTCGTTTTCTGTTGATTTCGACTCCTGATCGTGAACAGTGTTCACGGTTTTTGATACTGTCATACCAACTTGTGCCTTCGTTACTTGATCTATAATATACTGGATTTCAATATTACCGTAAACCACTGCATACAATACCCCGGGTATTAATCATTCCACCAGAAAAATTACTTAAGGAAAAAAAGA